AATTATTAAGCTCTCCGGGTCTCACTCCAGCTAGCATATTAGCTTCTCTAGCTCTCTCTCTCTCTCTCTCCCTTACCTAAATCCTTCAGTTAATGAACAGTTCCCAGAGCTGATATCAGTACTGAATGTCACCATTCTAACTCCATTAGATGATGATTGAATGCTGGTGCTAGATGTATTGGTAGAGTTAAATACTAATAGTCTTGCACTGTTCCTTAATATTACAGGACAACATATTCTGTCAACTAAAAGGGAGAGAGAGAGAGAGAGAGAGAGAAAGATGAAAGTGTGATAGGGACAAAAAGCAAAGTGAATTACATTGAAGTGTATATTGTATTGTTATGAACATAATATGCATGTATAAGTACATATACATGTGTATGTATGTACATCAATGCGTATAATGATTACTTGTTAAAGTAACAGTATATAGGAACAATTAATTATTACTATTAATTTTGAGCTAAATACATGTAGCTGAAGTATCTACTGTTGTATATGCTAATTTTAGCATTCTTGATATATCTGGGGATTTAATTATGTAGCACTTATAATTAATTCTTAAAAAATTTAAAGACCCTATGCTAGTCTACTGGATTAGCTCTACAATGACCTACTTGGTTGAACAGTGAACACTGATACAATGAAGCATGTGTAGCCATATTGATCATGAGCCTCTAATCTGAACAGATATATGAACCATTACCTGAAGAAGGGAGGGAGAAAATTGAGACTAGAAAGACACATAATAAGATCAAGTAAAACATGTCTTTCAAAGAATGGCTGTAACTCAAAAAATTGAAGTTGGAATTAGCTCAAACTTTCTACACAGCATAAGGACATCAATATGTCTTAGAAAACGTAATATAAAATTGGGGCTGATGATTTTAGAGCTATTTTTGAAAAAAACCATGGGTATTTTTGTGAATTTTGGCGTTTTTAAAATGGCCACAACTTGGAAAATTGAAGTCGGAACCAGTTCAAACTTTCTACACAGCACAAGGACATCTGTATGTATAAAAAAATTTAAATAAAAATTTGGGGTGATTTTTGAGCCATTTTTTGAAAAAAACCATGGGCTATAAGCCTTGGGTATTTTTCCAAATTTTGGCGTCTTTTAAAAATGGCCGGCTGTAACTTGGAAAATTGAAGTCAGATTCGGCTCAAACTTTCTACACAGCATAAGGACATCAATATGTATCTGAAATGGTAATAAAAATTTGGGCTAATTTTGGAGCCATTTTTTAGGTATATAGCCTTGGGTATTTGTCAGAATTTTTGGCATTTCTAAAAAATGGCAGTAACTTGGAAAATTGAAGTCAGAATGAGCTCAAACTTCCTACACAACATAAGGACATCAATATGTATCTGAAATAGTAATTAAAAAATTGGGCTAATTTCGGAGCCATTTTTTGGGAAAACTATGAGCTATAGCCTTACGTTTTTCTTAGAATTTTTGGCATTTTTTAAAATGGCTGTAACTTGGAAAATTAAAGTTGAAATTAGCTCAAACTTTCTACACAGCATAAGGACATCAATATGTATCACGGAGTGATGGTTAGTGTGCCTATGCCAATTAATCATTATTAATATTAATCGTCAGTAATGACTTATACATTGGTGAGATGGTAGGCTGGCTATTGAACAGTTAGTGGTAGCTTCTCTATTGCAATTAATACTAACAGCAACAGTGTATGGAGCACTGCCTTGAGATAAGTTTAGATTACATTGAAGAACAGTTATAGCTGCAAAAATGAAAAAAGAAAAAAAATAACAAAATAAATTAGCAAATTGCACACACAAAACTTTTATGAAGTTTTTGTAAATTTTGTGGCCTAACACAAAATGCTAATATATGCAGCTATTGCTATTAAAAATTAATGCAACATTGTTAACAAAACGAGATGTGCATTGAACAGTGAACAAGCTTGTAATGGGGCGAAGCCCACTAAAGTCCATTCAGTTTCACCTGACCTATTGATTTTTTGTTATAACTTTTGATAAACATGGAATTTAGAAATTTTGTTTGCACCATTAGAATCGCTAGGTCCTTCCCGTCATTTAGATAAAAGATCGAGTCAAAATGATAAGGCCTTAGCCTTTTTTGGATGTCCCTGTATAAACTCAATGACATACCTTTGACCACAATTATGCAGCTAGAACAGCCAGAATAAATTCAGCTGCTACTTATCTGCATCCCTTCCGTGCAACAAAAACAATTCCAAAACCACAAACACGTAAAGAATGCGGATGTGACGTAGTTATTTATTAATTGAAACAAGCGTAACAGTGTAAAAAATATTCCTATAATTGATTTCACCACCTTACAAGTACAACTGGGTTCTTAATAAAACTTATAGAGGTTCTCTCTACCTTCTAATGCTTCAAGAAAGGTCTTGAGACTGTATCTCTATGTTCTCTTGCTGTTAGAAAGCTTATAACTTTGTCATATATGTAAGCCGCCATTTTGCTTGCCGTGACCACACCCACTTACGTAAAGGAGCGTGGGCGGGTGGTTGCTAAGGCTTATGAATTTTGTTATTTCTCCAATACAACATGTATAGAAGAAATGTAAGTGTGGACATACAAATATATATATATATATAGATAGCGCGACGGTGAATCAATTATAGGAACGACCTGGGGGCTTCGCCCCCAGGTCGTTAAAAAAGCCAGGGGTCAGGTGAAAGTGAATAGACTTTAGTTCGAGTAGAGTATGTTTGTTTGTACACGTACGTCACCCCTATTTATCCGTATGAAAAATTTTCCTATTTTAATAACCTAATCTTAATCTTCTTTGAAAACGGGTGTGGTCACAGTGAAATAAAATGGCGCTAGCTATCAATTCTTCATTGTTCTTAATGTTCTTGACCTTATAAGTTACAAGTCACTCACTTGAGTCAGCAAGAATGCAAGAGAAGTCTCTACTACTTTCCAAATACAACAAGGAAGATTAAGAAGGCAGATATGCCACAGTTGTGAGCTTGTAAAGCCTCGACAACTACTGCGGACATAACCTATGACTGCAGTTACTGTCTCTGGCTTCCAACACAACTTTTTTGCTGCAGAATGTGATAAACTGATAAAGAAAATTTGTATTTCCAAGCATGATGACTTCATTACAAACTACTGTATTTACTCATGTATATTGTACATGTACAATAATGTAACTCTATACCATATAACCTTTGAAATATAGCGTGGCTAGGGGGCTAAGCCCCTTAATGTTTTACATTCGTCTAGTAATAAAAATAACAAAATCTACATGTACATTAATGATTAGCTTTAGAAGCAAGAGATTCACAACCCAATGGGGCAACAATTATTCCTTCACTAGAGTAGATGCTTAAACAATATACTGTACAAAGCAAGATTTTTGAAGGACATATACATGTACATGTATGTACATTTCATAAATTTGCCTTAAAATCTACTGTATAGCCACTTAATTTTGAGGGTACAATTTTTGTTGTTTTTGTGGAATTTTCGTATCTGCAAAAGTTAATTCCGTAAAATTATCCGTATTGCCTATAAACAGGTGTGCTTTAAAATAAGAACCACAAAAGTTAATTTGCAAAAAAAGACTTGTGGTCTGATTCGTGACAGTTTATTGCCTCAAAACTTTGTGGCTATATGGTATTCTGTATTTTATTGTTACATACATACATGTGCATGTATTTCAATTTAAAAATTGCCACAAAATTTACAACCATTATTTATAATTATTCTTTGATCACAATGACTGATGGTGTTTGTTCCTAAGGCATTTCTTAATTGCATTCTTTCAGTGAAATGTGGAACAAAACAAAGTGTGAACACTTGTAGCATACAGTGGAGCAAGGAGCATTGAAAGATAAAGAGCTACTGCATGTGAGGATAAAGCCCTCAGGCAATAGTAGAGCATTAATTTAAAGTAATAAAAAATTAAATAAATAAATAAAATATATGTAGTTACATGTATGTACATGTAATAGTTAATATAAGTAGAATGTAGTGATAATATTGTCTAATTCTTTTAATTATATTTATTTTTATTTACGTATTTTTGGAGCTGGCTTTAAGTCAAAGTTATATTCTGCTGTAGCTGATAAACTTTTCAGTTGATGATAGCACTTAAGAATGACGGTGTTGTAACCAATACCAATGACATTAGGATCAGTACAACACTCATTGAAACATTGAAACCTGTATTAGTAGGATAGACAGAAGAGAGAAAGGGGAGAGAGAGAGAAATTAAATGTTGTTATCCTTTAATCATGGGTGATTTACAAAGACAGAGTACATCATTAACCCAGGAAGATCTGAACAGAATAATGAGTGTACTGTATTGATTGACACTTGATCAGCTTCATCAATAAAAAGAAAATA